TGAACTAAGGAGCAGATTTAGAAATACACCGAAAGCTACAGAATTTGGTAAAAACTGTGAGCTTTGCTGAAGTAATTAAAGACAGAAGTTCAAATCCATGCTGAGAGTGGAACTCCTTCAATCAGTGCTCCTCCGCAGCTCTGATTGGCTCAGCAATGTAACGTGATCCTCTGCAGCAAGTGATGGCAAAACGGGGCGTCATCACGACTTTACACAAGTGTCTTTACCTCTGCGGCAGAGGCTCCGCCGAACCCCTGAGACCGACTCATCGAACCTCTGGGGTTTGATTGAACCCAGGTTAAGAACCACTGATCTAGACAGATTACACAACACAGAAAAAAAACACTTTAAAAGGGTCCATTTTGTTTTTTATAGATTTTTTAATAGGATTGTACCGTTATTTCAAAAAATTTAAAACAAATGCTAAATCACTTTTGAGTTGTTTTGATGTATAGAGAATCCAGGGTACATTTTGTATCTTAAAGCTGTTGAAAATGTCATTCAGTAACTTTAGTTTTTAAGTCAAAATCAGCTAAATTGCTAATTCTAGCTTAAGATACTAATTTCAGTTTTGGTTCATTTTTAGCTACCTATAATCTACTCTATAGAAAACGATTGAAACAGCAATAATCTGAATCTATTTCTTCCCTTTTCTGAAATGACTTGAGCGATAAAACCATTTCTGTGACCAGCAACCTCAGAGCCAGGAGGCCCAGAGTGTCACGATCTGTGTTTGTGTGTTTATTTTTGAGTTTTTCTGTTTAGTTCTGTTCCCTGTGAGTCTCTGTCCTGTCCTCCCCGTTTGTCTCCCAGGTGTGTCTCGTCCCCTTGATTACCCCGTGTGTATTTAAGTCCACCTGTAGTCTCCGTCTCTTGTCAGATCCTCGTCGTTGTTAGCGTCATTCCTCATTCTTCGTGTCCTACGTCAGTTCGCAGTTTCCTCAGTAGAACTGTATAGTCCTGAGGTTTCATGTGTCAGTCTTTGTCAGTCGCTACCGGTATTAGCTGTGTGCTAACGTGCTGCCTGTCCTGGACTGTGAGATCTTCATTAAATTCATCATCTTCTCCACACCTGGGTTCTCTGCGTCATCTCCTCACCACCACCAACCATACCGCTTCATGACACAGAGCCCCCGAGTGATTGTCAGCAAGCTGTGATTGTGCATGGTCAGTGCATTAATGCTCGTGTGTTTGCCTTCACACATGGGCAAACCTAAGTGTGTTTCCAGTGGGAGCAGCTGACACGTAGCCACTGGAAGCCCATGAATTATCCACAGAGCTTTCAGCACGGCGGCTTTGCAGCGAGTTCTGGCAAACAGTTTTGAGCCGAATTCAAAGCAAATTGGAGCCGAGGTTAAGTGATGCGACACAGACGAGTCAGACAAAGACACGAAATAAAGAATTTCAAATGTATGACCATTGCTGTGCTCTTCTAGAAGAAGAAGAAAAAAATCAGGCAACGAGCAGGCTGTTGAGACTCCTTATTAGAGACATCTGAAATAACATCACAAATCAAAGCTGTTCTACGACAACAAAGACGCAGCACAGATTTAAAGCCGAGTCATTTTTTACACGTTCTAGTCCGTCTATATTCTCTCATTAAATCACCCTTTGGGCCCAATACACAGAATTGACGTTGGATAAAAATCTACACCCTGAAGCATAATTTAACACGTGCACGTTTAACATCTTTACTTATCAGAACAACCATTTCAACTATGTTAAACAAATTAACAGTTGAGCATTAATTTGAAAATGAACAAGGTACAATGTTTACTGACCTAAAATATAAACAGGCGTTGCTGATCAAAGTTCACCTGTCGAAAGAATCAAACAGGAAATGCTTATATTTTGAAGGATCTTCAGAGTCTCTGTTGTTGAAGAAAACTCCTGTTAGAAATGACGCATAAATGGTCAACACATTTTCTTTATAGTGGAATGTAAGTGGTTCAGGAATATGTTAGATTCTTAATTTAAGTCAGAGGATTTGCACAAGATGTCAAAGATATATTTTTTTGTTGTTGTATTTTCTTAGTTATTAGTTATTAGATACTCGGTTTTGTTTGAGAAACACACCGGTGGTCGTTATCATGACGCTACAGAAAAGACTGAAAGATTATGATTTGTTATTAGCGACACAGTCCACAAATATCCTTGGCAAACAAATCAAACTCACCCTTTAACATAAGAACATACGACTCTCTGGGTCAGAGCTCCAGTGTGCTGTTTACTCAATGGCAGCACTAATTAAAAAAAAGAGACTTACTGCTGTTAACTCTTTCTACTAGAAAACACTGAAAATCCATCACAGGATCCCGATACATGCTGCAGGTGTTACCACAAACATCTGTCATTTAGGCTATGGCAACTCTGAGTTTTGTGACTGGAGTCATAAATCTAACACTTTAGTCCACATGCGTCAAACTCAAGGCCCGGTGGCCAAATGTGGCCCGCTGTAGCTTTTTATGTGGCCCTCCAGACTCCAAATTGCATCAATAAGTGCCTCCAGTTTTTCACAACTCTGCAAAATTTACAAAAAATCAACAACACCCCACACTTCTTCTGATTTTACTGCAATTCTTTTCTCAAAATTGAACAAAAACATTGGTTTTAAGTGACTGCTGCCTCAGCCTTGCTTGATATCAGGTTGTAGTCCGTGACCAATACAGCGATTTATAAAATGTCACATTTAGCCTCATACATTAGTGCAGTGGTTTCCAAACATTTTCTGGGCCCCCCCTATGGATTACAAATAGCTGTCTGGTTGAACGACGTGTGTTGGGGAGGGGGGGCGTCGACTTCTTTTGGGGGCAAAATTAATGTACGTAGCTGGACATAGACAACAACATCGGTAGCCTACAGGCTACTTGTTAAGCTTAAGGTGATGTATTGATATCAGCTCGTCATCATTTGGCTAACCTTACCTGCATCCAGCAGCTTTACTCAACTCAGTCGGTTAGTTTGGAGGGAAAAACTGTGAAAAGTTCTTTGCGTTTTGCAGGTTTGCTGCCATGATTCTAACACAAACCTACGTAGCTCCGCCCAGCAGCAGCAGGTCTCCTTCACTGCCGCAGAGGCGTAAACCCAGCGCGAGCGTCGTAGCGCTCATGTTGCGTTTAAAGGCGGCTCGGAAAAACAGGTCACCACATGTTAACAACGGATTAAACAGTTTTAACTGCTGATAAAAATGACAGAGGACACAAATATGGGAAGTGTGGAAGCCTCTACTGTATCAAATTGACATAGGAATAACAGAGAGTTGGCCATTCTAAGGTAAAAACCCAGCGCAGACATCGTTCATGTTTTTTTGTTTATTTTTTCATCCAGACGGCTTCCCCCGCCCCCCATGCAATGTCACGGCGCTCCCCCCAGGGGGCGCGCCCCACAGTTTGGGAACCTCTGCTCTATACAATAGTAGATTTCATTTGTTCTCCCACATACTGTCTATTCATTCACTTGCCCTTAATTAGAAAACACACTTTAATTTGCATGTATTTCTGTAACTAAAGCCTGATTGAAAGTAGGGAATCCATCACCAACATCTGATGTTGTGTTTGGCTAAAAAGCCATAAGATCCAAAAAGTAACGCTTCATAAAACTCATTCTAAGTAAGACAGCTATAGGCGAGTTACGACTCCATAAGTCTGGCAATTTAATTGCAGGTTTAAGAGACAAAGACACCTTCAAAGTTAAATGGTGGAACCTCCCACACCAACCCGTAAAGGTTCCTCTACTAATCTACTCCGTCGCTGTGATGATGACCTACTTCTGTAAATAAAAAGGTCAAGATTAGCCAATATGAACACGTAATACTGAATTCAGCTTTCTAAAGGGTTCCTTTTAATGTCCAGGGTGGGAGACTGTTCCTGCAGTTCAGCTCTACGGTGTGAAGATGAACTCAGAGTATCCATTAGCAAATAGCAGACACATGATATCTGACCAAACAGATCCTCTGCAGAGAGCACAGCTGAAGGACAATGGAAAGAGACAGAGGGGTGGGGAGAGAAATAACAGGGTGGATAGGCAGGAGATGAATCAGCCTTTAGTGAGTTTCCACTTAAATTTATCACAGTCGACTGAGGAAGAAGGCACCTATCAATAACCTCTCACTTCTGCTTTCCTCTAAACACCATTTTGTACCCCTCACTTTGAAAAGGAAAGAAAAGAGAAACTCATCTTAACATTTGACGCTGCACATATCTATCTAAATAAACTCCCACTTAACTATCCACATGTGTTGATCCAGATACAAGTACGTGAGTCGACTGACCCCCTGCCAAAACGACATGCCGCGCTAAATTCTTATCAGGAGATTGTTTACATTCTTCAAACATACGAGTGGAGCGGTTTTAAAGGAAGCTGCTGCGTGGTCTGGAACTACTCCTGTATCTATTGTTCACTTGATTTTACATGTTAGTTGGATTACTAATAAGCCAATAAAGATAGTAAGATAATAACTGTCAATATATGTCTAATTTATCTCATAAATACACAGGCAACAGCATAATTTTGTCAAAAGGTGGTCAAAGCACTCCTTAAGCTCGAGTTGTTTGCTTCACCTTTAAATCTGACAATGACGAGTCATTTTCCTTAAGAACAGGAAAACTGTCCGTCATATGACAGTGAGGATGGACAGCTCATGTCAGCACTTTGGTTCTATTTTAAACCAAGCTGGACTTTGCAGGAAAAAGGGAATGGAGACACTTAGTCACTCACTGTCAGAAAATGTGACTGCAGTGGATTTTTCACTGGATGTCACAACACATGGATGGATTTTACATTTCTGACACAATTCAAGCTTGCACACCAACACACAATGAAGAAATGTTTACAGTTTACAATTTTAACACTGCCATGATAATATTTAAAAACACATTTGCCCATTGTATTTTTGAGCCAAATTTATTTTAAAGAATCTGAAAGTCAATATAGCGGTGTCAATGCTGGTCGAAATCTAAGGTGGTCCTATTTTACTTTTCCTTAAAGAGCATTGAATACACTTCCTGTTAGTGTTTTCACAAATAGTATAAGAATAACCGTTGCTAGGGCAGAATTATGCATTTTGAATAGGAGGGAATTAACAGCAATAGAAGCCTATGACCTAGCAGCTAGCACTTAGCTAGTCAGAACAAGCTACGAACTAGCAGTTGGCTAGTCAGAACAAGCTACGAACTAGCAGTTGGCTAGTCAGAACAAGCTACGAACTAGTGGCTAGCAGTTGGCTAGTCAGAACAAGCTACGAACTAGCGGCTAGCAGTTGGCTAGTCAGAACAAGCTACGAACTAGAGGTTAGCAGTTGGCTAGTCAGAACAAGCTACGAACTAGCGGCTAGCAGTTAGATAGTCGGAGCACAAGTATTTTAAAAATGGTGGAGGCTTTGACGTTGTTGCTTTTGTTAACATGTTTGCAATAAATATTGTGATGTTCTCCAATCATGTTTTGATTATTCTTGCTTATTGATTTGCCGAAGGTTTTTCCAGGGATTCTTTAACTTGAAATAGCTGAAGAAAAGCTATAACTGAGAACTGTCCCAGACATATATGATTACATTTTTTCATAAGCTTAATATTAGACCCTGTTTCCACTGATAATATTTCTGATAACTCTTTTCAACATTGTTCTAATGAACATTAATTTAAAACGTGGTTGCTCTGAAACATCCCCCTGATGGTTACAAACTGATTCATGATTGAACCTTAACAAGCAGCTGCAGACAGTGTCATTTTGTAACTGAAAGAGTAGGATGTGATGCAAGCAAAAAGGCTAAAGTACAAAACGGGAAAGAGGAACAATTTCCAGCACCATCCTCGTAACAGCGACAGTGTAGATGTAGAAACTCGGAGAGCAGATCACTTTTAATATGCAATATCTAAAGTGCTTCTGGGACCAAATACTTTCACAGGCTTAAGAAATGCATTGATAATAATACCATAATGTGGCTTTTCATTGGATCTAAATAGTCTGCGCCACATGTATGATGTTCTCCCACACATCCTCTTTCTGCCAGGTGTGGATTAGCGTGGGTCTAAATCTGCATGGCTTCTGAAAGCCAATTCTCTCTTCTCCCTAAAGAACCCAGAACCCCTCACGTACCTACAAAACAGATGTCCAAACCAGATGTTTTGCACTGAGGCAACAGTTTAGACCTGCTCAGTTTGTTTTGATGTTCTCCAAAAGCAGAGTAATGCAGCTACAGTTTCCCTCAGAAACACTCCAAGGCTGCTACATTTGCCTAGGAGTGACATTTTTTTTTGAGCCTAATTAATAATCGCGTTTTTTTATTTTTTGTTGCTCCGTTCTAACGACTAAATTGAAAAAGTCATAACTCCAAGATTAAACAGTCGCAGTCACCACTCAAGCCAACAGAGCAGTTGTTTCCTCATATTGCATTTCCTCAAACCGACTCTATCAAGATCATAAAACAAACACTAAAAACAAACAGGGGCTGATTATGTTTTATTCAAGAGCAGTCCGGCAGCTATTTTTAAAATAAAAAGCCGAGGAAACGGCGCTGAATGGCAGTAGGAGTGACGGCGAATGGCAGCTCCTCTCCTCTCTCCATTAGCCTGTGCAGAACCAGCCGAGCGAGCGTTGCCAACAAGCAGGCACTATGATTTCGGTATGTTACATTCACTTTGGGCAACGTGTTGACTTCAAATCATCAAAGTGCTCAGCAGCAGCCGAGTGAAATTGCCGTTCGGTGCAAAACTCAAAATTGATCGTTCAGAGTATAATGGCTCAGAGACACTGAAAACCACATTGTTAAAGAAAAATCTCACATAATTTAGTAAGAAGTGACATACAATTGTGTGGTGTGCATTTGTATTCATCCACCCTGAGTCAATAGCTGACTGTCACCACAGACTGAAAGTATTTTAGGTCTTTAACAGGCACTTCAAGGAACTGAAATGTTCAAGTATTTCCATAGATTTTCAACTGTATTTGGGTCAGAAGTTTGGGTCGTACACTTAATATTCTCCGTGTCATTTCATGTGGACGGCCATGTCTCGATGATGCTCTGCAAGATGTTTTGATAGCAATGTTTTTTTTTATTTCCCGCTTCACAGTTATGTGCTAGCTTTCCTCAGCCTGTTAAAAATTCAGAGAAACACAATTCAGTTTGTAGCTGTAACATGAGCTAAATAAACACACTATTTACACAAAACCCTTCTGAAGATAGTTCACTCACTGAAAACCTCAACCTATTGTTTTTCTGGCTAGGCTAAGCTAGCAGGCTTGAATTTTTCTGTTCAAATTAAGCATTAAAAAACATGAGACGAGCTAGTATCTTCTCGAAAACAAAGCACCAAACTTGGAAAGGCATGTAAATGGAAAAACATAGAAAGACTAAAACATTACAAAGAGCAAAACACAGTAAAACAATAAAAAGCAACTTTCTGTTTGTTCTGTTCCCCGAGAGCGAGGATAAAGATCCGTATTTGCATATTCTCACTCAGCAACACAGCAAAACGCAGAAAGAAACTTGCCAGAGGTCCAAAAAAATGGTTTAATTATAAATGACTGAATTAAGAAAAAGACGCCTTAATTCTCTCAGCTGCCTATTCAGCCGTGTGCGCCAACGGAGATAAAAAAAAATAAAAAATGTGCTGCTGTCTGTGTCTAAAGCCTTTCTCATTTCACATCTTTATTCCTTCAAGAATTGTTTGTTTTTTTTTTTAACCGTCTATTCATTTTACATTATTAACCACTGATAAAAATAGCGCTTCGTTAATTACACCAACCAAAGGTTTAGTGTTAGATATTGGCTAAAATGTGAGTCTTCCACACCGAGGAAACCTGGTTCTGGTTCATGATCCAACCGATAAGCTGAAAAGTTGAAAAGCAGACACAGTTTCACAATGTTGGCCAACGAGTGCTGTTGCTGACAACAAAAGGGTGCAATGGTTTCACAGGCCTGCTTTACACAAGCTGCTGTCTTTCATAAACCTTTCGCTGGAACAGTGTTGCCACCTGACTTGCACATTTGCCCTAAAAAAGGGGAAGTTCAGCGACACAAAAGCAACTAACGCATGTGCAAGTCATGCAGCCGCTTTAGCTAAATTTGTTTCTTTTAACAGGAGAAATTAGTTGCTTCAGGCAAAATCACTTTGCCCAGGTGGAACTTGCTTAACTTACCCAGTATAGGCTGCATTTGAAGTAGCAAGCCTAGTCTTTTGATTCGCAAGTCAAACATGTTGGTTAGGTGGGGATAAACATGAGGAAGGAAAAGGGGATTTTTGTGACACATGAAGTCCTGTCACGTCTTTGAGTGTGAATTTTTATAAGTGCAGGGAACATAGAGCCCTTTTTATAAGTTCTTTGCTCTGATATTTGAGTTACATCAATTCTCTAGCAGTGCAGCTACATCTCTGCCTTTTTGTGCTTCACAAATAGACTGAAGGTTTCATAAATATCAAATCTCTCTTCACTACAGAATTAGCAGGTTCAGTTTAGGTTACTCAGCGTATTTTAGATTTTGAACAAGCGGCACACAATTGCGGTCCATTAGCAGTGGACTGCTGACAATTATCTCCAAACTAAATGTTGGTGGCTAGCTAATGGTTAGCCAGCCACGATATTGCGACGTTTTTGTTTATTTCCACCAAAACCAGTACCCAAAATGCTTCCATATAAAAAGCTTATCGAAAGTTTTTGCAGTTGAATATTCACTCTCAGGCTGACGGCGTCTTTTATTCGTCGTGTTCAACATCCAAACGGACAAGAACTACTTCCTGTCTTCCTTCAAACTTCAGTCTCAAACGCAGACACAAGAAATCAGCATCGCTTTGATGAAAAATAACGCTACAAAACAAACCCAAAGCTCTTCAGCTCGGCATCGGAGAAGCCTGTAGCATGCTATCGTCAGCTAAAGGCTGCTATTTCTAATTAAACCTCTGGGGAACGTCTTGTGGCCAGCGCCAGGGCTGTCGGAGAGTCACAGACACTTTCTCAGCCCTGCAAATCAAGGATAAGAGCCTTTTACAAGTAATGAACCAGAGGCCCCACTTTTTAAACCCTTGTAAAGCCAGCAAGCTGGAGCATTTTCACTTTAATGAGAGGAAGCGATTGAACTGCTGGGTCACGCCGTTGCTTTTTCAGTTTTCGGATTAGATTTCAGGTGTGGGAAGAACGCTGCGACACGGCCTCAGCCGGTGTCTACCGGTAGAAGAAGGAAACACTGAATGCCACAACTGAATAGCTATGATATTATACCATTCTGGTGTTTGCTAAACAAGCATATAAGGTGGTTCAGGGCGATGTGGCTTAAAAATAAAATCAAATTTTTTTCATATGAGATACCATTTCTGATTTTAATTTACTTTTTTTTCCCCCCTTCTTTTCTAAAAAAAAAAAAAAGAAATTAGAAATGACACAAAGTATTGAAAAAGTGGCTTTTGTTTCAATGACCCCTTCAGGAGATGTACAGTGGAGTTTTAGGGACAGATTGCAAGAATTTGTCTTTGATTATGAGGATACTGTCACAACATAAGCAGGATAAAAATGAAATTTTACCAGTGGAATGTCTTAGAATTACAAGAAAAAGTTGTTTTGATGAAAAAAAAAAGCTTGAATAATATTTTTTTTGTTATTTTTCATGTTGGTGTTTTCATAAAATTATTCTCCAAATATTATGACTTTATTCAGCTGGACTCTTTTGTATTATTTCGACTTCATTATCATTTGACTTTATTCTCTTTTTGCTATGACTGTACTCCTGTAGCATCATGACTTTATTTTTGATTTCTGAAACAAGAATCTTAGCCTGACCCTTATATTTATTTCATTGTAATGCCGAGTTGACCTGAAATGAAAACCCAAATAAATAGAAGCCGTAAAAACAAGATAGTGGCATCACTCTGAACTGGAGTGATGTCAGCAGTTCAGAGTGCATTGGTGGAAAAACAAAGTCCAGATTTTCCAAAAATGAAATCTTCAAAAACCAAAATTTTGATTCATTAATAAAATCAATAGTCGGCATGTTTTTACACATCAACGCTTTCGCTGTAAATTTAAATCTGGAATGACGTAGTGAAAAGAGAAGAGCTCTTTTACCTAATAGTAATGTTAAAGCTGCTTTTCTGCTTCCACACACTCATAAAGGCTCGCTTGTCTTATTCAGCGCATCTTTGGGGACAGCTGGCGTGCACGGCGGGAAAGGAGGCAGCCTTCATTTACCAAAAACCAAGCCAAAATGTCACCGTATGACTGCCGGCAAGTGCCTCCCTTACCTTGCCAAAGTTCCTGACATCGAAAAGGTCAAAGGCGTCGAACAGTTCGCTCTTCTTCATTCCAAATGAGTCGCTGCACGCCACCAGGAACGTCCGGATATTCTTCAGGCACAGGAACTGCATTTAGAGGACAAAAAAAAAAAAAAAGAAAAAGAAAAACCGGTTAATCGCTGTGTGGCTCCCAATCAACAAAGGAGCTGCGTGGCATTAATAAATGATCCAGTCCATTATTATTCTATTATATCTCACTTTCTTCTCTAAGGGGCATTCGCATGTGGTGGAGCTGCTCTGCTAGTTTAGCCTGTGAGCTTCAATGTGACTGTCTAATTAGACAATGTAAAAACACGGTGCCTCTGAAAGCTCTTGGGTTAGTGTTTACAGCGAACATGAGAGCATTTTGTTTTATTAGAATAATAAAACAAAATGTCATACGAAGGCACTGCAGTGCTGTGGTTCCATAAGAACAAGTCTAAATACATTCAAATGTTTGACGCTTAACCCCGATTTCAAGTTTTAAAGCATAAAACAATGGATCCAAATGAGCTTGATCTGTGTCTGTCATTAGAAATATTTCTAATGTTAAGAATGTTAAGTTCTCAAAATTCTCCTCAGTAAAAACGCTTGTGAAAATAAAAATCTGTTCTTGCAAATACTAGAAATACAAACATCTGACACTGATTGCAAAAGGTGAAACCCTAACCCTACGAAATCCAACATTTCCTGTTTTCAATCTGATTGGAGGTCTTACAAGGGTATTATTGTTCCGTTTCATTAAAAGGTAGCCAGATTTTTGAGGAAGAGACTGTAAATGTTTTATAATCAAACACAAAAGGACAGAACTTACAAAAGCTGGAGCTCAGAATCGACTGAGCTGATTCACTTTCAAGGCTTTTATTGCTTTGAGCTAAAAGCAATAAAAAACAATGCTGTGTCTACATACACGCACTAAGCTGTTAACATCTAAATAATGTCCACCTATAACATAAAGAGGGCAACTCGGCGAAGATGCCGAGTTGCCCTCTAAACGCAGAAACCTTGACTCTAAACGCAGCCGAGGGCTGGCCACGTTAACCCAGAAGCATCAGCACTAAAGCCAAGCGCACACAAGGGCCTAAATCCATGCTCTCTGAGCTCGTTCACATTCTTCAGAGCTGCAGCCGGGGTTAACAGGAATGTAGCAACAGTGTGCAGTTGGCCAACGCGCCGCACGTCTGCGACTTCCCGTAAAATAAAGGCCAGAAGCGCGCCTCTGCTGATAGACTGGTTTGAGGAGAATCGTGTTTTTTTTTTTTTTTTGCTCCACTTCGCTGCCTCTGCTGGATCGCCTTTGACGGATGACTTCATCCTTGGGTGTAACCGACCAACAATGTGTTTGTGGCGTTTTCCCCTCTCTGCTCGACGTCTCCCCGTTTTAAACTGTGTGCTCTAATAAAACGGAGTATTGTGGGGAGCAAAGGAGAGAGGATGTCACTGTTAAGTCTTACAGCTTATCAGCTGCGGTTCAATGGCTGTGGCTCTGTGGGGAGCAGTTCATTCTTCTGGCTCTTCACTGTACCTAGAAGACATCTGAATAATAGAAAGGACTCGCAATTTTTGGCCACATCGTGCTGTTTAAATGCAGATATTAGTTTAATTTAGTATCTTATTAAAGGTGGAAGCAGTTCAGCTCCAAATTAGGTGCTTCAAAAATGACATTAGGGACTACTTTCAGAGTCCAAGGGGTTTTTAGAGAGTCGCACTGGAGGAAATATCCCCTCACCTCCTAAGCAGCTCCAGTTTTTTCTGTTCCTGCGCCGTCACAACAATCCGGAGAGATCTCAGCCCGTATCAACTTTTTTTAGACATAATTTCTCTCACTAGGAACTCTCCAATTAGCTTCCTTCTGATGACAGTTCCTCGGGATTGTTCTTTAGCAAGAAAAAAAGAGAGAGAGAGAGAGAGAAAAGAAAAAAAAAGGTCTTCCAGGAAATAGATTTTATTGCCAATTTCCTGTTTCTCAAGCGAAAGCTCACGCTGAGGTGTCCATATTTAGAGAACTGATTAGGTTTGACTGTTTAGGAGGAAAATAAGTCAGCAAGTGTCAAATCAGGAAGCAGCCACGCCTATTTTATTATACACTGGAGCAGAATTTATTTCTTTTGGGGCGGTTGACTTTTTCATGACAAATGTAAAATACCTCCCAAAAACAATTGAACTGCGGTTTAGCAGACGGATGGGAACCCCCTGCACCCCTCTTGAGACACCAAATAAGCGTGAATCAGCAAACAAAAAGTCAAGCGGATATCATTGAATGTTTAGACTTGTAAACATCACTCGCTTTTATCAGACAAGCACATCTTGCCTGCCCGGAGCCTCCGGAGTGTCCCAAAGGACGCCGGTGTATTATCTGAGGGAAGCAGCTTCTCGGAGCGCAACAAATATGAAAGACGGCGTGTCATCTGCACCGAGCAAAAGACTGAAGACTGGGGGAGATCGCATTAAAAAGGGATGTTGCAGAGCGTGAGGCAAACCTCTAACTGTTCCACATGCAGCTTTTCTTTGACGTGAGGGACTCTCTGGGGCTCACCAGCTGAACGGCTGAGTGGGTAGTGTGGACAAGCAGGGGCGCCGTCAGTACGAACCAAATCTGTCTGAAGTAGAATCTAATGCTGAAGGGATTTTTTGATTTCACTTTTTTTGTTCTTGGATAAACATTCATATACACAGCTGAAACCAGAAGTTTATACCGAATAAAAAGACACATGGACTTTTATTTTCTCGCCATCTGCAGTTAAATCAGACTAAACATCTCTTGTTTTAGGTCAGTAAAGATGACCGAACTTATTTCGTCTTGCAAAATCCCACAATAATAAGAGGGAGAATATCTCAAACATTGTTCTTCCTTTTCCGAGATCTGAAGTCTTGTAGATCATTTTCTATGAAACTGGTTGACAGCGGGCACTTTTGCAAAAACAAAAGAACAATAAATAACAGTAACAGACATTATTTTAAAAGAAAATGATAATAATAAAATAGTGGAGGTGAAGATTAAGGAAGTTTCCCCTCTAATAGCTAGAATCTGAAAATGCTAAACGTACAGTGGAAACCATCTTGGCACTATATGGTGCATGTCAAGTAGCATTGCGTCAAAGTATTTCAGCTTCCCAAGCTGCATTTTCTTTTGAATATTTTAGAAAAACATTTGCGAAAAAACAAGAAACTCACAACGTTACATCCAGTAGGTGAATCTGAAAATACTGAACTGCAAATAGACGGTGGTGCACGGGAATTTCTTTATGCTAGTGCTATGTTTAGCAGTAGCATTAATAATGTTTGAAATGTGTGTATGAATACTTTATAGTATTTTTACTCAAGGTTATCACAGCATGAGAATCTCACAGCAGTCCACGTTTATTAAGATAAGATCAATAACTGAGTTACTAATGTGAGGACTATAAAAACCTGATAACGATTTTAGTGAAGTCATAAAGGCAAAACAATGGGGAACTTTTCCATTTTAGGAACGAACGTCTTTAACACTGTGTTGTGAACAGAAACAGAACCTCATCCAAAGCGAATAAACCCGTTTTTGTCTTCCGATGCAACCAGCCTTGCCACAAGGAGGATCAGAAGATTTGGATTTTATTTAGATAATAGCTTTAGCGTCCCAGTTGGAGTCTGCAGAACACATACTGAGATGTACCCAATGAGAAGGAAGGGACCGCTTATGAAAGAACAACGTGTGCAGGAACCCCCGCACCCGCAAAAGAAATCTCACCTGCAGCACATTTCATTTTCAAACCCAACCACGCGCGATAAGAGAACAGTCCGGTAAGCCGAGCTATCTCGCCCGCTTGCGTTGGCTACGAGGCCGTGCTCTGTTTCTATAATATCCATAATAAGCATCCCAGTTTCTGCTTATGTATTCTTTGACACAAGTCAAAGCTCCATAGCAACAAGCTGGGAGCTTTCATGGCCCCAGTGTGTGTTGCAGGGCATAATGAAATCCCGTCCTCTCGCGGATATGCGCTTGTGAAAGACAGCAAAGACAGTTTGGCCGTCTCACCGCTCGAATGTCGTTGAGAATTAATTAATGAGCATAAATGGATGCGAAGGGATTTAAAGCCTTGAGACTTGAATTTGACTCCGTGACGCTTTCAGTCTCACTACAGATCCTGGTGACGTTGCGATCCAGCTGTGATAAAAGTTGGATGTTTACGTTCTGCTCTTAAAAGCCACAAGTGAACGCCGCTCGGATTGGAGCTTTTTTTTTTTATGATGACATATCGCAGGCCCGGCCGGTCACATCCATGTCATGTAGGAGCTTTTGTCGGCCGTGTAACCAGGAAACGGGAGGTGGAAGGTGAGAGAGGTTCTGCTGACGCCGGCAAAACGCTGCCCTCTCCCCCTCCTGCTGAAGACACTCGTCATCTCACTTATCTTAATAGAATAATGTCAACATAAAGCAGCAGTCAGCAGCTTTTTCACTCCAAAAATATACTGTGGCATCTGATTTCACGCGTTATTCTGACGACAAACCCACCGACTTGAGGCACGGCAGCAGCAGCAGTGGCACATGACAGGAAAGCACTCAACAGCTGCTTGTTTGAGTCACTTTTTCCATTCATTCACAACTGCTTGTATGCGCAGTTCCTGACACCTTTTTTTATTCTTTCTTCTTTATTATTATTATTTTTTTTTTTTGGCTTATCACAATTCCTGTAAGTGGCAATTTTCACGCTCTGGTTATCAGCCGCTTTAGGAATAGGAAATAATTGGCTGTGTACGGTTAAGCTCAAAATTATTCATACCGTTGGGAGGATTTACACTTTAAGTTATTATAATTCAACCAAGGCGCTTGTGAGCGGGAGAAAGTGAAATCTCTCAAACGATAAATAATTTCTGTTTAGATGAGCATTTTTGCTTTAATTTGAAAAGTCAAAAATGATTTATGTCCTTTTTTAGCAAATAGCTGAAAAAAATAGTTATTGGCAGTATATCCTCTTGCGTAGCCTAAGTTACTGTTTACAACACAAAAGATAGGTTGGGTTACACAGGTAAAGATCCAATTGTAAACTACTTTTTTTTTTTATTACTTACATTTTTTATATATTTTTTTTACTGAAATAAATGATATTTTTCCTTAGATCCTTAGCAGAAGTGAAATGTGCCTTCATCGAATATGTTTTGTAGAAACATTCCTTTATAAAATGAATAATATTAATATTAAGGATGTTAGAAACTTTCCAGAAACTCAGAGGGGAACAAAACATTGGTCACCACCAGAAAAAAATAAAAATAAAATAAATAAATACAACTCTCTTTTGCT